GAAGAGAGAGAGAGAGAGAGAGAGAGAGAGAGAGAGAGGAGAGAGAGAGAGAGAGAGAGAGAGAGAGAGAGAGAGAGAGGAGAAGGACCAGAGGGAACAAGAGAAAGAGGAGACTTCAGCCGGAGAAGATACTCGGGTCACGGTATTCAATCTGTCTCGATTGGATACTACTAGTACCCGATATACTCACCAGGAAGTCGCACACTCCCACCAACACCCCTGCATGTACTCTCCGGCCCACCATGCTCACCAAACCAGTAAGAAACAGACTCCAATACAGATACTGATCCTTTACAGCTGCTTTTGACCTAACAGCTCTCATCAATGCAGGTCTAGGTATACTTGTAGAATGGCTAGATTATCTCAGAAACACTCCTGTATAAATATGATAATAACTGAGACACAAAGCAGGCGCAGTGCGAGCTCTGGCATGGTCAGACATGCTAAAACTAGCATAGGAATATTTTAGCGGTGCAAGAAGATCATACAGGTTCTATCAATACGATTCCCACATAACAATTTCTGATAATTCGAACCTCGAACTGGACATGTCCGGATAATTAGAAGTCCATAGATTCCACTTACATAGAAAATGTGTGGGGTTTGTGCTGATAATTCGAAGTTAGCAAAGTGTAATTCGAAGTTCACTGTACACTGTACTGGTCAGTTCAGTTTGCATGAGCAGGCTGTGCCGGTCAGCTCAGTTTCCGTGAAATCTGTGTCTAAGGTCCATAGCGCAACTCTGCGTGATCATGAGAGCATTTTGACATACATATTGTGTTGTGGGTTCATGTTTGGATAATTAGAATGTCCGGATAATTAGAAGTTTTTCCTGGCATTTTGAGGTTCGAATTATCAGGATTCCACCTGTACTTTAGAACTGATCATACTGTTGGAAAGGTCAAGCAAGGTGTGCAAAGATTCTTGTGTGACTAACTGCAGTGCTGTGCTGAGGTCCTGTTGGTAATGTCCTATCTGCTAAGCGCCAGGGTCACCTCATTTGGTAAAGTGTTATAATATTATCTAGTGTGGACTCATTAGTATAGTGTTGGTGTCGATTTTTCACTTTCAGAGTATGCTATCATCTTGCACTGCACACAGCACACAGCACATAGCCTACAGCATACAGCACACCAACCAGTGACCAGCACACAACACACAACACACAGACCAGTGGCCAGCACACCAACCAGTGACCAGCACACAACACACAGACCAGTGACCAGCACACAACACACAACACACAGACCAGTGGCCAGCACACAGCACGCAGACCAGCACACAACACACAGACCAGTGGCCAGCACACAGCACGCAGACCAGCACACAACACACAGACCAGTGGCCAGCACACAGCACGCAGACCAGCACACAACACACAGACCAGTGGCCAGCACACAGCACGCAGACCAGCACACAACACACAGACCAGTGGCCAGCACAAAGCACGCAGACCAGCACACAACACACAGACCAGTGGCCAGTACACAGCACGCAGACCAGCCCAGCAGAACAAAGAACACAGACCAGCACACAGAACACAGAACAAAGAACACAGACCAGCACACAGAACACAGACCAGCACACAGACCAGCCCAGCAGAACACAACACACAGCACACAGAACAGAGCACGTACCGGTGTGCAGACCAGGATCTCCGGTGCTGTCTTCAAGGCTTGCGACTGCTCCCATTTACTACCTCCACCATATACACAGCATACCTACAAACAACACAACACATGCACACACACGCACACACACACATACACGGTGCATCATACGCACGCACACATGATATGCATTGAAACAATAAAAGCTCCTCTTGAACAGAAACCTCCTCAAAATCGGCATTAGAAAAATAAAAGTCCCCCCCCCCCCCCCCCCCAAAGCTTCTAATCAAGTCAGTGTGGTACATACGCATTGCTCTCTTGCGCCCGACTTTCCAAGAGCACCATGGATCAACAGAGTATTATACACTCAGCTTGCAAACCAGTACAAGATTGTAAACACGAGCCAAGGCGAGCAGGGTGATAGCTGTATTCTCTGTGACTTTTGTCCATATACACGCTACAGTGATCCATGTGAGAGCAGCAGCGGCAGCCTGCTGCTGCTGCAACTGCTGCTGGTGGTGTTGCTGGTGTTGCTTGACTGGACACGCCAGCAGCAACAGCAGCAGCAGCGGACAAGTTAATTGTCTAGATCTAGACTAACAGCAATGCTGCTCGCTTACATTCAGGTTGTACGCTTTGCCAAAACGCTTGGCTTCGTGATAGATCTACACACATACAAGCCAACGCACACACAGACACAGACAGACACAGACAGACAGACACACACACACAGACACAGACACAGACACACACACCCAGACACACACAAAGACACACACACCCACACACACCCACAGACACAGACACACACACAGAGCAAGAGGAGACGGTAACATCATAACATATTTACAATGCTCAAATAGTAACCAAACACCAGCATAACACAAGCA